TTTTACTAGTCAGGTAAAATTAATAGGGAATGTATGCTATCATGAAAAAAAGTTTACCGTTATTATTTATTCAAATTTTTTTTTATTACCAAACACTATAAGGGGGCCAGCACTTTGTGTCTTGCCTAAGAACCCCCAGTGGTTAATGCCTGCAATGGCCATAGAATCAAACCCTTACGCTTTTCCATCTAGAGGTTCAGTTTCATTCAAATTAAATTGCTAAGAAAACCAAAAAATAATAATTAACAATAACTGAACTACGAACTGGATTCAGAAAAAGAGGCAATACTCTACTTAGGATTACAAACAGAACAGGTAATGAACCAGCAGAACCACCACATAACGAAAAAAACATCTTCTGGTCAAGGAATAGGTTGGGGTGGGCTGTAGGGTCAGAGACGCCACTGCGAAAAAGTATATGTAAAATGTTTTCGTTTTTTAAACGTTATGGATTCCCACTTAGCAATCTGGTAAATCTTCAACTTAGCTTGGAAGTGGGTGAACGCGGAAATAATATATTACCTAGATAACGGCGATGCTATACATGATCCGTTCCAGAATATGGATATATCACCCAGATAACGACAATGGTATATATGATCCGTTGCAGAATATTCGGAACATTCTATAGCGTCGTCAGTTTTATCTCATGAATGACGGTTCGCAGTAAGTTTGAGCAGACTAAGACATATTTCTAGCGATCACATTCCAACTCGTAAGCGTTAATTCGGGAATTAATACAACGCTTTTTTATTGCAATTTTATTTCAGAGCATTTGAGTTCTCATTTATTATATGAAAAATTAAAAAATCCCCTATCCCCATATTTAGTGAAACGAAGCCAGAGATATTGCTAAGAAAATTAACCCTAACATCTTGGAGTTAGGTATGAGTTTTCAAGCCTAACTTTACTGTAATAATACAAATAGCTAGTATTCAGATCTTTCACACGATTGTAGTTTGTTTCATATGTGTTGGCCACAAGTTATATGAATATTTTTACTAAACGAGTATGGTTCAAAGCTGATTGACATGAGTGTCCGTATAAATGCTGATCCCTCGTTATCAAATATTTTGGTTGAATGCCCCCGCTTTTCTCAGGCGCTGAAGTAAATTATGATTAATTGAATAAAGTTGTTTAAACATTTTTTAACAACAAGTAAAAGCTTGGAATGGTCTGTTAGTTCATTGGGGGTGTGTCTGTGAGTCAGACTAGTTTCGTAGAATTCCACTCCTCATCAGTGACCCTGGACACTACCACCAATAAAGTTTCAGACCAAACTAAGCCTTTATAGTAGTGAGGTATCGAAAATCGAAATGGAGTATTTAAGTGTTTTACACTCACAAAAAAGAAACCTATCATCCTATAGGTATTTCAAGAATATGTAGCATTTCGCCACAATTTAATTCTTCGTTTCCTGTAAGCATTGTAAGTAAAGCAACATTCTGCGATTCACTTCTAAAATGGTAAAACATAAAAACAATACCATAAGTTAACTCCTTTCATAGTAGATGAATAATAATAATAGTTTCTTTAATAAAGGGTAAGACAAGCTTACTAAATCTGTCATGTTTCATACAAATTTATTCATGAAGAGCTAAGTGATCAAGTGTGCAAGTATTGATATTTATAACGATGTGTAGTTTTTGAGCATGTACCTCAGTGTCTGATGCTTCGGGAGTTTACTATGGCCTACCTTGTACTTAAAGAATAATCATTCGTGTCATTCAATGTATTAACATGTTAAAGTTAAATTGCAGAACTCTGAATCAGGCCTCCCGTTCTATGAAGCGAGCCAGTTCAGTGACATTAAGATAGGTGTCGCCCTCCCATGGGTGGCGTTTTTCAGATTCCTCTTCCTTACACCTTATGCTCCGTCGTGGTATTAAAAGATATACGTCAACATGTCTGGGATTTTCACCTGAGACGGTTTACAAGATGCGATGAACCCAAGGATTCATACACTTTCGAAATGAATACTAATGCTCAATCACGAAGGTTGTCGACTGAAAAGGTTGTTGCCATTAGTGGCTGATATAAGCGGTCAGTGGGGGCTTTGTCCAGCCCAGGAATGCCCCCGCCTCGAGAACCTTGCGTCACTAGACGGCCTTCAACCATCATTCTGACCTCGTTTAGGTCAAGGAACGACGGGAATGGGTACAAGAAATACGTGTGAGAAAGCGTTGTTAAAAAGGTCACTGACCTTGAAGTTTGTCTATGTTGGTCTCACAGAAAAAAGCACTAGAAGAGAAGCATTCTGTGATAAGCCACTGCTGATTATAATGTTGATGTTACCTAATAATGCACTTTATATACATTAATAATCAGAACTGATCTTGCTCAAGTTAAAAATGATAATGAGAAATATTTTGTTATATTAATAAATCTGTCGTCATAAAATAAATCATGAATCACGTCATGAATGTACGAAACACATCTAATAAAAAAATAGATGAAAAGTAATGGCACAATATTTTATGAGGTTTAGTAGTGATCGGGATATGAAAACTATATGGAAATACGTGTTACAGAATGATATATGAAATAGGTCTTAAAAATGGATTTGACCAAAAGTTTTAAGTAGTTTTTGTGTTTGTATAAAACAAAGAAGACACTTGGACAGAAAAGTAAGATAGGTTTAAACAATATGACTTTAGATACCTATCCGTCATTTCTATGTTACCTGGGAGAGTATATGTCAGAAAGGAAGTTAAAAGTCTTTATAACTGTATGGCGAGCGTAATATCAAACAACGTGTTTTTCAAGACTTGATTATGATATGAGACATGTTTCTCATACTGAGTAAATGGAAAAGTGTAACTAGAATAGTGGATAAACTGTGTTTTAGTTCAAATTAAACTATAACTTAAAGCATTGTAAACTTTGTAGCAATTTAATCGCTGGGGCGAAAGTAACAATATTATTAGTTTCTCTCCCACACCTTTTTCAAATTTCGTTATGTTTTTAAAACATGCATATGTAAGAGCATTCTGTTAGCTTTAGCCCACTTACGCTTTAATGTCAAGAATACTTTAGTAAAAGTAATTGTTATAATTTAATTAGGGATACCTAAAAATGTTCATGTGATGCATTCTCAAACACAGCAACCAAACTAACCAGAACCTTAAACTGAACGCTCATTCCCCAGACGTTTCGCTTATTTTTCTATTCCTCTCAACATGTCTGTCCTTTTTTACAAATATCTGTACACCACCTGACAACTCGTAATCGTACGCGAGCAGCTTTACAAAGTAATGACTTCAGTTTATAGTTATCAGAAAATCAAGAAACTGAACTACTTCTTTAATAGATTCAGTAATCTCAAGGCCAGCCTCTGTGTGTTTGTGTCGCAAACAAAGAGATTACCATATGAAGGAGAAGTGAGTTATTATCTGTGAAAGAAAAGTTGGGTTATTTTTCAGCATAAATGTATTAAGCTTAAATAACGTAATTGTTCTAATTATTATTACTACTAACACTTAGATACTAAGATTATTGTGTACTTATTGTATATGATTTAGAAATCATAATAATTATTTGGTGTAATCTTTTAATATATATATATATATATATACTTAGTCAAGGTCATTCATTCTTATTATTCTGCGGTTGAATGCACAACAAGGTGTTCGATATAACATTTACAAGAAATCTTCTGAAATATCAGACTCATACTTTATTCATGCCCGTAATGATCTGAGTGTATAAATAAAGTAACAGAGTCAAGGTTTACTATTTCTTTTATTCTTTAGTAATATTGCGTTTACAAAAATTAGAAATGCGTAGGATATTACCCATTTTGTTTACCACAACATTATCACTGGTACAATGGTGCAATAATATATATAAATCACCACACACATTCGTATGTGTTATTACTTGCAGTTAATAGCCAATGTTGAACTTTAACTCCTCGATATAAACAACACTGTTTTGGTGAGCGTTGAACCTTAGAACCAGCTATATATGAAAGTGTCACTGTACTCTCGAAACAGTCGGTTGCACAATATATGAATATTTAATGTAAATTTCGGTTATTCACATCTGTGACCACCAGGTTGTTCTTTCTTAATACACAATGCAAGTAATTTCTTAACATTAGGCATACGTTTCCTAACTCTCACAGAAAGTAAGTGAATACCTAACAAAAAGGATACCAGACGATATCATAAACTAGGACTACAAAAGTCTTTAGGTTAGGTACTAGAAGAGGTACACCCTAGTGACTCAGCGGTAGGCTTGAGGGTTGGGCTTATGACGTTAAATTTCAGGGTTTGATCCCTGGGATGACCGTATTGTGTTTAATATTGAATAAATGAGAGAAGGCGTTGTTAAAGAGGATTTTACCAGGTTATCGCGAACTCTGTTTTTTTGTTTCTGTAAGAAATACCATTATATATTTGAAAGTTACTATTTAAAAAAGTTGGAGTGTCGTAACCTCTGTTATAAAAGCAGTAGCGTGTCGAAACAGCTGACCACTCAGCTCAGACAGCTGTAGCTGACCGCAAACAGCTGATGGGCATGTTTTCATTATCAAGTCCGAATGAATTGGCTGAAGGATACTGAATGAAGAAGATAGATTATTCTTAGTGGGGGTGCAACGCTTTTTGTAGAACACTGAATTTGTTTAATGGGTTAGATGAAACAGACACACACACATATATATATATATATCGCTTTATATTAATTCTTGCTAAAGTATATATATAATATTTACAATCCAATTAGCAAGATATGCTAATTCCACATCAAAATGCACAGTCAGAGTCATCTAGACACGAGATAGTTTAATTCGTGTGTAAGCAATTAGCATTAACCTATGCATTAAATGGATACCGGGTTTGTGTCTAAAATATTTAAAAACTGGTTTTCCAATACCTATTTAATGATCACAAGTATTTAAGCCTTCTAGAGATACGTTTTATGCTTCAGTTCGTCCTAAAAACACAATATATGTAAATCCGAACAATAAGCAAATGACAATAGTTGAAGTAACTTACGTTATCTTCTCAGAGGACAGATCTTCTAAATCAGGCCTAACACTGTAGCTTAATGTCCAAATGTTCGGGACTTTTTCTATTCCTGGCACTACAGACTTGGGTTTCATCCTTCCATGCATCCAAAACTCTACGTTTTTAATTATATTTTCTTCTCAGATTACAGGTTTTGTATTTGAACAGTAGGTGAAATAGAAACGGCAGGTTCTTTCTAATGCAGAGAGAATGCATAATGTTTTGTTATTTTATCTTGAGAAATTCCAATTTAACATTTTAAGTTTTATATTACACATTAGTTTCATGTGCATCAGTTTAAAAAAAAAACGTATTCAACAATAACTTATGTTATAATTTTGATTAAGTTCGAATCCCATTCAGACTTATATTCTTCCAAAAGAAAAAGAAAATTATATGGGAAAATACGCTAATCTAAATATTAGCGATAATCGTAGAATATCTGGAAATTCTATAAATGTTAAAACTGTTTTTTGTTAAATAAGTAAAACATGCTTCTATCTAGAAAAAAGTTTACAACTTAATCACATCAACATTTTACGACCTGGATGTATCAGAGAAAATAGTGCGTTTACTTACATCAGACAACAAGTAACATACAAATATTGACAGAAAATCTACATGACTTGACTTGATAAACTTAAACGAGGATCAGTCAACTTTCGTAATCTCCGAACAACTTTCTCCTATTTATACGTCAGTAGGTTTAATCACATTCAATCTAGTAAAAGTAAAGACGAAAACTCGTGCTGCTACTTAGCGAATTTTGATTGGTTAAGGACCGGCTATAGCGTGGACATCGCACGAGCCATTCAGTAGCTTGTCTCTTTCTTCTCATGTATACATTTATATATTACTTTGTTTCGAGCATTCACTTTAATTGCACGATGACCAATTAATGTCTACACACACGAGATGTTTCTTAAAGAAAAAAGGCGATACTGAAAAACCTTATTCGCCAAAGTTGGAACTAATTTTTAAGTACTAAGAAAAATAAAATGGATAACAATGATACATTAACACGTCCCCGATGTTTCAGCAGTAAATTTACGGGCTTAAAATTCTAAAGTCCGGGGTTCGACTTCTCGCGGCGGATAGAGCGCATTAAGCCCATTGCATTAGAACGAACAATAGATCATAATTTTTATTTAATAATATATATATATATTATTAAATTGATATTTTTGTTATTAAAAGAAAAATCTAATAAATTTAGCAATTAAATAAATATACTCCTGAAGAGGCGAAGATTGAAATATTCTGTTAATTATAATATACAGTGATAAGGTGATCAAGAATTACCTACGAAGTTTTAAGAAATATTTGAAATATATATTTAATTTATCTTTTTATATAAATGAGGTATTTTGAGTTTGAGTTTATCTGAAGTTAAGCACAAAGCTACACAAAGGGCTATCTGTGCTCTGCCCACCATGGGTATCGAAACCCGGTTTCTAGCGGACATACCGCTGTGCCACTGGGGGTCAAATAAAGTATTAGCGTCTACTGAAACTAAATCCAAATCTTAAAAAAAAAAAACAGAATGTATTCTCCAACATATATTACCTCTCTAAAAGTATTAAATTACATCCATTAAAATATATAATAAAATCTAAACATTAAAATAATTAACAACAAAATAAAAATATATTTACTTCTAAATATATATATATAATGAAATTGTTTTGAATGTCTGTAAAATGTTATTTAAAAAACAAGATTTGGTTCAGTGACGTTTACTTATTTTGGCGTTAAAATATAATCTCTGTTTTAATACTTTTATTTTAATTTTTTCGTGTACTTACTAGGTGTGACATACCGTTTATAGATGTGTGTGTGTTTTTTTATTATCAGAATTTAATCTTTCCTCTCCAAAATAAAATGTCAAACCACTCCTAGTAGGAGAGGACTCCTTGAAAAAGTAAGATGTTTTTGGTACTTTAAATAAAATCCTTGCAACAACTAAGAGAACGCTAGAGGCGTAATTCCTGTTTACTGTGGAACCTTTTTTTTTAAGCAATTTTCTCCTTATTACACCTTACAGGCAGGTAGGACTGTATGGCGAATGGCAGGATCGTCTTGCATATAAATGAAACTGTCTCAAAGTAAAGGGTTGCGCAATTTTTCAGAACTGATAACTAATATAATTTATCTATTGACACTTCAGATGAAGCAAATTGAAATAGATAAATCACTTTATATAAACAGAAGTGTAAAATTATAGATCAAGCTTTTATATTTATTTAACGAATGCGATTGAATAGAAAACTCGTGATCTTTTTCATTGTTCTTACACAAGGACTATCTGGCCCGGCATGGCCAGGTGGATAAGGCGCTCGACCCGCA